ACAGAATATTGAGTCATTAAACGGGTATTTCAAGAGTGTATGTTTAAAAATAATTTGACCATGAGTAAAGTGAGCCAAAATAGACCTACTTTGACCTCACAGAAAGAAAATGCAACCTTTTCCTGAAGAGGTGATGTCCAGAATTTCGGAATGAACCTTCTGTCCCCACATTCTGGGACCTGGAGTGAAGTTGGCATCCAGGAAGGGTGGGCTGCAAGACTGGGCTTTCATCTTCATCCTCCTTTTCTTTTCCAGAACATTGCGTTTCTTTTCCAGTGTAACTCATACACCATTGAATTTAAGCCACCTGGTATTCAGAATTCCATTCATTTTACCAACATACTTTAGTTTTACTTTTGGGCCACACCCTGTAGTGCATGGAGGCTACTCCCTTCTCTGTCTCTGTTTGAAGATAGCTATCAGCAATGCTAGGGAGTCCTTGTGGTGCTGTGAATCAAACCAAGGGCTCTTCTGCATGCAAAGCATCTGCTTCAATTTTTGAGCTATTTCTCTGGCTCTCCAATATCTATTATATTTTATTTTATTTTTTCGAGAATTTACCTAGTTCCAGGCATGGGTACAGAGAAATTTTGGTGAAGAAAACAAGAAATTTTTTTTATGTTGTACGCACTTCTGTGCTATTTGAACAAGATAAATGATAAACAAAATAAATAGGAAGCATATGGGACATATTAGGAGACCATAGGACCATAATGCACAGTTGCAATGTTATTTGAGAACATTTTATTCTGTTCTAAGAGAAAAGAGTTAGGATGGATGAAATTTACTTTTTTAGCATACAGAAGAATGTTAATAGCATGTGAGATGCGAGAGAAATACCAACTATATATGCACACATATAGTAAGAAATGGCAGTGCTAAGATACCTAATGGTCTCGACTGAAAAATATATTGAGACAGTCATTATTCATAACTTCTTTGATCACTCATTTGGAAATTTTGTTCTGACTTCAAATAACCTTTGCTTCAAATAAGCAAACAGTCTAATTGCTCATAAATCTTTTTGGTAAAAAGAATCATAGCTGCTTGTTGTCATGAGTATCTTCTCTATCTGCGGAGACGCTGTGGTGATATTTAGCTCTCATTCTGGTAATGACCAGAGAAAACTAGCGTGGGAGAGATAAGAAAAATCTCAACATCGTAGCTATGAAAATAGGTACTCTGATTCTTTTTTATTTTTTGGTTTTGGGCCATATGTCGCATGCTTAAGGTTTACTCCTGACTCTATAATCAGAGATCTCTCCTGGTGGACTTGGGGATGATACGGGGTACCAGGAATCAAACTCTTCCATGTAAGGCAAGAGTCCTACCCACTGTACTATCTTTCCGGCCCTAGGTGGTTATTTTAGTCATTTATTGACTATGTCAAGCATACTTACTTGCCTCTTCATTCCCCCAGTGCTTTAGTTTACTTAATGAACTGTGATTCAATTTTCTTTATTTGATTTTTTGAGCTCTTCGGGGCGACAATACTTGATTGTGGACTTAAAGGTTATTGCTAAAAAAAAAAAAAGGCTATTGCTATAGTAAAATAATTTACCTATATTTTAAAAAGTGCAAAAAATAAATAAAAACAGAGCAGCATTTAAAAAAAAATCAGCAAGGAAAGGGTTGGGTAGAGCTTTATTTAGATACCGGGGTCAGGGAGGTATGATAACAAAGGTGACATGTGAGCAAAAGACTGCAAGTTGAGGAAGCAAGACAATCAAATATTGTAAAGAAGAGCATTCCAGACATTGGGGGCCATGGTGCAAAGAGACTCAGTCATGAGGTAAAGGTAAAGGCCCTCCCGTTGATCATCGATTTGCTTGAGCGGGCCCATTAACGTCTCCATTGGAGACTTTGTTGTTACTGTGTTTGGCATATCAAATACATCACGGGGAGCTTGCCAGGCTCTGCTGTGTGGGCGAGATACTCTCGGTAGCTTGCCGGGCTCTCCGAGAGGGGCACAGGAATCGAACTTGGGTCGCCATGTTGGCTGTGTGCAAGGCAAACGCCCTACCGCTGTGCTATCGCTTTTCTGGAAAGTCAATGAGAAAATTGGTAGGCCATAGAGGCCAAAGAGACATCAGCAAGCTGTGGAAAATAAAGTGACAAGAGGCAAGGGAGCCATCTGAAGAAGCACTATAGGTGATTTTGTAAAGATGAAGTTTTATTCTGAATTGATTTCCAATAAAATGTTTTTGGCTACAGAAAGGTTTATTTTTATGTGAACATTGATATTCACTGTAAAGATATGGAACAGAATAGAGGTCAGCTAGGAGACAATTGTGATGAGCCAATTAAAAGATGATGACGCTTCATGACAAGGGTGATCATGATCATAGTAGAAGGATAAGAAGTAATGAGATTGTGAGTATATTTAGGAAACAGACTCTGAAGGATTTGTTATCAGACTGGAGATAGGAAGTTAGAAAAAGAGAGGAGTCAATGATGAATCAATAATAGATATTCCATTAATTGTAGGATGAGAAACCTGGGGAGGAGAATTTGGAGCACTTTCAAGAGGAAATTGAAATCTAAATAAGTTATCTACACTCACATAGGAAGTGAGTAGTCCAGGCCAAGAATCAGTTCAAAAACCACATCACGATTCACGCAGCTGCCATGTAAGCTCATCTATCAACCCTGCTCTACAGACTCATAATTAAGTCTAGAAAGTGATTAACCAGTTGCAAAAATTCTCTGATACCCAATATCTGGTCCAGCAGAGACCTCTGGAGTAATCTCACAAGGAGGAAAACCAAGTTTCCACCCTGTCAAAGTCCCAGCAGCTGCACTCACAATCAAACAACTGCCACCAAGCCAAACTCCACTACCTCACGACTGAACTCCACAGTGATATAAAACTGCTGAAAATTTCAGGTACACCAGATATTTTTTGTCTGAAAACTCTGAGGCTTCTCAAAATTGGGGTGGGTGACATCCTCCCATCTGTCCATACTTCCAGAATCCCAGAACCTCAATCAATTTTTTTAAGAGTTTAAAAAATGTAGAGCTAGGATGACATATTGATCAAAATGCAATAGCTTCAATAAAGCATTTAGCAAATTAAAATGTCAGTATTTTATCCTGAAAGATCAAATTCTGAAAATCTGAAGTCTAGTGTTGGATGGTAAGTAAAGAATATTGAACATGCGCAAATTTGTTATTTTGGAGGAGGAAAATGGTATCAAATTGAGTCTGTAGAACTAGAAAATATGAACTCAGGGGAAACAGAATGGCAGGTTTTGTGTCAGAAGATTTTTGTTTAGGTCACCAAAACCTTGAAAAGACAAATACAAAATACAAAGGAAGAGGCGCAGAAATTGGCAGGATATAGAATTCTCTGCCTCCACCAGACAAAAATGAGCCAAAATCCACTTGGAGCTTGTTTTCACAGAACAGACAGACATTCTGACATTTCCCTGGGCCAGGATGACCTGGAATGGGGGCCCTTCCCAGACTAAGTATGTTGTAAAGGGAAGGAGTGTGTGAACATGAAGCAAGCATTAATTAAAGCTGGAGAAACCTGTTAGCTGCCTGGTATGTTTTGAGAAAGTTCTCCCAAGTATTTAGGATGTGTTTGGGAAGCAGAGGGTGAGATCATGAGAAAAGGAATTCATTAGGTAGAAAGATCTCTAGGAGTTCTGCACCCCAACATGGCAGCCCATAAGACTTTGGTCACTCTCTGTGTGTAAATAATAATACTAATCACAGCTAGGTAGGTAACGAAATGAGGGCAGCTTCAGGCTGCCTGCTTATTATTTGTACCACACAATCATAGCACCAAGGGAAGGGCATAGTTATAAAGCTTTTTCTACCCATTACCTATGCAAATGTGGCTCATAGCCTGAATTTCAGAGACATTATCTCATCCAAAATATTCTCAGCACAGTGATGCTAGAAGCCAGACTTCTGAGGTTGGGATCCCAGTTCCACTACTTCAAGTCCCGTAAGCTTGAACAAAATGACTAACCTTTTCTTTGTCTCAGTTTCTGGACTTCTGAAAATGAGGGCATGAGTAGTACTTTCTTCATGGATTCTTATAAGATTAACCAAGCTAAGTGTCAGGTAGTACTTACCACAGAGCAAACATACTAAATACTACAAAGCTACTTAATAAAATTGTGGCTCACGATTCATGGACACATGAGAGGACTATGGACATAGAAGGGGAATCAGAGGAGAATGGAGAGGAAATTGGGATAAATTGCAATTGATACCATCCAGCCTGACCCTAGTTACTTCCTTCACCTACCCTTCACCATTGGCTTCCCCGAACACAGGTGGAGAGAGAGAGTGTCATGACCCTTTAGTAATACACAGGCACAGCACTGTAGCACTGTCCTCCTGTTGTTCATCAATTTGCTTGAGCGGGCACCAATAATGTCTCCATTGTGAGACTTGTTATTACTGTTTGTGGTATATTGAGTATGTCATGGGGAGCTTGCCAGGTTTTGCGGCGCAGGAGGAATACTCTCAGTAGCTTGCCAGACTTTCCAAGAGAAACGGAGGAATTGAACCCGGTTGGCTGCATACAAGGCAAATGCCCTACCACTATGCTATCACTCTGGCCCCATTTTCCAAAATCCATAATATTTTATTTTTTATCAATTTTTGACTATTACCCAGTAGCATAGTTCTTAGGGTAACTCTTGGCAGTGCTAGAGGGACTATGAAGTACTGGGTATCAACCTTGGTCCTCCTGCGATCAAAGCACGCACTTAAGCCCACGGTTCTATCTCTCTGACCCCATAATGAGATCTCTCTCATCCGCACAGGACATGGGGGAATGTCTCATTTCCCTTGTAAATATCAGGTTGATGGTTCAATCTGTAGTGTGTTGTGTGGACTGAGCATCATCCTGATAGTTTTACCATCTGTAATCTTTAACATTGTCAGTGATTTCCAGCCTCACTATATATGTGTAAGCACCATAAGTAAAGGTTTGTGACCTGCTGTGAACATCGCAGCTAGCTAAAAGATACATGAACACCATGGTGCGATATATAAATGCTAATAACAAGTGCAACTCCCAGGTGAGTACTGTAATGATCCTTCAAACATTACGACAAAAATATGTGCAAGCACTCTAACTAATGAATGTGAGCTGAACCCTGATGAGCACCAAGCCAGACTGTGCAAACATTCACCACAATGTGCAATGAAACCCCAGGCAACACCACAGCTATAAATGTGCAAGTGCTTGAACACCACAGCCAGGTTTGTGTGAACACACTCACTATAACAATCACAACAAATGGAAAGGACAGGAGGAAGAGAATTAACAAACAACTTCTTACTTTAGCTCCATGTTACTTATCTTGGATTCTCTGTGTTTTTCCAATAAATCATAGATTCCTCTATAACTTTACTACTTTATTTTTGGGAACCATGTTATTTTCAGTAAGATTCAGCTGTAGTCCTACCTTTCCACACTCACGGTCAAAGTCGGCCAGCATTTGTGCCTCTTGGCTGATGTTTGGTGTTATTAAAACAATGTCATCAGCAAAGCGGAGGTGGTGTAGTTGCCGACCATCTATCTTCACTCCCATTCCTTCCCATTCCGTCGCATGACGTTCTCGAGGGTGGCACTGAAGAGTTTCGGTGAAATGGTATCACCCTGCCGAACCCCTCTCTTGACATCAATAATTACTTCTTTGTAGAATGGTGAGATCCTGGTAGTGAATCCGCAATACAGCTCACGGAGGATCTTGATGTATTGGGCTTGAATGCCCTGATTGGCTAGGGCTTCAGTGACTGCTTCCATCTCAACAGAATCAAAGGCCTTCTTTAAATCAATGAACGTTAAGCAGAGCGGCATCTTGAACTCCCGAGAAACCTCAATGAGCTTGGTTATCGTGTGGATATGGTCGATGAATTTTACGAAGACAATGTTTATGAGAAACAGCCTCGTTCCTGATGCCCCATTCGCTCTCAACAGAACAAACATCTCCGAATGCAACAGCTATGTGTACCTAGGTCTAGAAGTCAACATGACAAATGATCTGGCACCCGAGCTGTGGGGGAGGAAGAGAGCGGCTTGGAACGCCTTCAAGAACGTTGAAGAAATAGCTAAGAGGACGAAGAACCTCCGGCTCCGGGCACATCTCTTTGATTCCACTGTTCTTCCTGCATTAACATATGCCTCAGAGACCTGGGCCCTACGCAAACAAGGATGAGAACGCTATTCAGGTCTCCCAAAGAAGAATTGAAAGAGCTATGCTTGGAATATCACGTTTCACTCAAATGAGAGAAAGAATCCGGAGTTCCGACATCTGTGGACGATCAAGAATCAGGGATGCTGTCTCATTTGCCAAGGTGCCAAAAAGACGACCGCTGGACTAGAGCTGTTACCGACTGGATTCCATGGGATGTCAAAAGACTGCGTGGCCGCCCACCTACCAGATGGTCAGACCTCTTCATCAAGATCATGAATGATCGGTTTGAGGCTCTTCATGTTCCCAGAGCAAACAGATGCCATTGGGATAGACTACCACGTGACAGGGACAAATGGAGACGTTACTGGCACCCACTCGAGCAAATCGACGACTAACGGGAAGTTAAGTGATTAAGTGATGTTATTTTAATGCCTTTGTGATTGGATGCTGTATAGATAAAATCTTGTAATTCTAGGAGAGAAAAGTGGTGGGAGATCTTAACCCCTCTGGATTCATTGTGGAAGAGATAGCCTAAGGTCTGGAGCTCCAATTTAGGGCAAGCAGTTCATTGGCCACATCAGGAGGCTAGGAATAACACAGATTCCATCTTCACACATACTTGCTTACATAGCAATAAAACCACATTTTTTATAGGAATAAAGACACTTTATTGCATTATATGGAGTGTGAGGTGATGAAGAATTACCCCCTTACTCTTCTGGGTTCTTCATGGACTAAGTCAAGCAATCTAATTAACATCAGACAGAGTAGGAAGAAAAAAATTTAATTCTATGCTAATGAAGGAGCCACAAAGATGGTTCCTTCTACACATCTTACAGCCAAACAGGGAAAAGGATGGGGGAGGTGTGGGGGGAGAGTGTGTCTATATCCTGAACAAGAATGTGGAACAGAGCCCTGGAACCCAAGCAGAGAGGAGGGACATAGGAGAAGGAGATGAGTTACATCAAAAAGATCAAATGCTTTCTAATTACATCTTTGCTATGCAAATAGATAGGTTTCTTTGATGGAAAGGTTATTTCTGGAAGCAACGCTAAAACTGACCAATGCATCCTATTTCCATTTGTCAAGGAATACAGTGGAGTGGCCACAAATTTCTCATGAGTCAGCAGGGCTTGGACTGAAATAGGCTTATAGTAATCCATGTATAAAGATAAGCTGTGCAGGAGATTCTGTTCTGAATATTTAGGGGAATTTCTACCCTTTATATCCATATAAAGGATAAAAAAAGTGGAAAAAAAGTGTTACTTGAAATAACGTCATCTATGATAAACAAGTGCAAACAAGACAAAAGTTCTCATGGTAATTTGTTCTAGTAATGCCACATTCGTGGTATAGGTGCACACTAGTGGGATAATCCAGTTCCTTGTAGGCAACAAAGCTGCACAGAAGTATGTCAGAGATCTTCTCTCCCCAACCCAGATATAGATTTTTATTCATATCTACCCTTTATATCCATATAGCCTTTATATCCATTTATATATATATATATATATATATATATATATATATAAATAGTGGCATGACACTATATTCAAGTGAATAGGGCAGGTTTACAGAAGTATAAAGTGATATTTGAAATCTCTGAAGAGGGCGCACATCCCAGAATCTGTGACTGTACTTTGGGGGATGGGGGAATGAGACGCTGGTTTGGGGAAGTTGAAGGAAGTGCAGAAAAGGAACAAGTTACTGTGGGATGGGATGTAGCGGCTGGCACTGCCAGGTGCAGAGACCACACTGGGTGGATAGAGTCCCTAATTCCTCCTTTGACTTTCCGGGCTCACTTTAAAACCTCTTTCAGTAGAACACAAGAAGATAACACAGGAATTAAGACTTTCAGAAAGCCAGCTCAACTTCATAACTTACCGTATAAACAGTTGATTTGTAGCCGAGAGGCTATTACTATGTACAAGTACTACAAGCAGTAAAATAAGGACAATAATACCTGCTTTAGATATCAGATTAAAGTATATATGCAGAAGTACTTAGAAAATGTGCTGTGCTTTGAAAAATAGCATACTTGAAAAAGGCTGTAGAATATATTGTTTGGACTGGTAGTAGAGGGTTCATTTTATGTCTAAGATTTTTGTGTTCTGCATTTTAACCACTAACCTGTATATATGAAACAAGTAATTCAAACTAACTTTGAAAAAGGGTCAAACTGCTTCATTCTAAACACTTGTAATCAGCATAAAAGATGTACAGTATTTTGACTAGAATGACTGTGGTTCAGTGTTCCCTGACTAATCTCAAAAAATAATCTTCTGCGCTGGGTTGGGGAGAGAAGATCTCTGACATACTTCTGTGCAGCTTTGTTGCCTACAAGGAACTGGATTATCCCACTAGTGTACACCTATACCACGAATGTGGCATTACTAGAACAAATAACCATGAGAACTTTTGTCTTGTTTGCACTTGTTTATCATAGATGACGTTATTTCAAGTAACACTTTTTTTTCCAGAAAATTTTTTCAACACAGCCCCTCAACCACATTGATGTTTCTCTTAAATTACTTCACAAAAACAAGTACTATATTCATATGCATCTTGGCCTGCTGGATCTTGCCTCTGATTTATGTCATTTGTCAGGGAACCCCTGAGCTTGATTCTTTTGTTTCCCAAAAAGACAATTATTTTGCATTTCGCGATATGTACATGTGTTACAGATTGTATTGATGTACCTAGTCAACAAATGGAGGTTTGCCATGGACCAAACTAAAGTGACCAACCAAAAAATTAAGTCTTTGCTCTCAAGTAACTTGAAGTCTAAAGGATCTGTAGAAAATAAACGTAGAATACAAACATATTGCAAGGGGACAAATTTTGCAAGAGTGGGGTCACAGGAATTTAATGAAGTTCACAAAAACCTTGTTAAAAAAAGTAACATTTCCACTAAAATCTAGGGAAAATGTTAAGAAAAATAAAGTTTAGCTATGACTAAGTGGGTGGGTGGAAGGAATTTTTGGCAGAGTTGAAATTAGAGAAGAGAGCTATGAAAAGCAAAGCACTTGGCCCATTGGAGAAGCGGTTAGAGGTCAGTGGCTAGAGTCCAGTGAGAGATGTCCATGTGACTGGAACAAAGTCAGATCCTTCCTGGGTTGGATTTGGTTCTAAGGTCAACTTGAAACCTTCAGAGGATTTAAACAAGGGAGTGAGTGACACTTACATGGCTTTGACATTCATATGAAGAATGAGTAATGGGTCAGGAGAAGAAATAGGACTCATCAAAAGGCCGCTGCTGTGACCTCTGTAGGCACCAGATGTCTATCTTCAAGGGCTGACATTCACATAGAGAAATTATACTGACTTGCACAGGGGTGAATGATAGAGGAAAAAAATGTAAGGATTAGATTTAAGATCTATCTTGAAGGTACAGTCTGAAATTTTACTACTTACTACATTTAGAGGGGGATAACCCCAGGTTCCCAGTTTAAACAACTGAGTAATGAAGATGAAGGAACTTATAGAAGACAAAAGAAAGAATGGAGTAGTCTTGCAGATGTCATGAGTGAGAGGCATGTATAACCAATTGGTTTATGTGTACAGCACTTAACATAACTGTGTGTACACACACATGTATGGGCACACACATATACAACTCTGGTAGTAAGTAACAGATAAACTCGTGAAAGATGGTAACACTTTACCGAAAACTAAGATTTCTAAGGCACCAGCCTGAAACAGGGTCATGACTGTAATAATTCCTCTGTAAAAATTTACCGAGGCTAATTCACTGTTTTCTTAAAGCAGTTAACACCTCCAGTGAATGGTTTTAGAAGTGGGGAGGCAGGAGGGGGGGTGGGGGCTTGGAGTCAGGGTGCGGGGAGTGGGGGAACAAAAGAGGGGGGATCTCTAGGAACAATTATTAAAACTCAAGGCATACACATAAGCTCTCTGGTGTCAACTTTCTCAACACAAAATCATGTCTATAAATTCTTGGATCAGGCAAAATATTCATTAGAGATCATCTGTGATTTTTGTTAGTCATAGAGACTCAGAAAATAGCCAGTATTAGAAACCAAGGGACAATAAAAGTTGAACTCCTAGATAAATTTGTACAGGTCAAAGACAAACTATCACAAATGATTTAAGCCAAATTCAAACACACTGAAAATAAAATAAAATATAAGAAATTACTCATTCAACAGCCATGTTCAGCAACTGACAATTCTCTGCCAAAACCCTCTGCCAAATGGATCTACCCTAATTATTGGTACACAGCGGGTAGGGCGTTTGCCTTGCATGAGGCTGACCTGGCCGACCTTGGTTTCGCCCCTCTCAGAGAGCCCAGCAAGCTACAGAGAGTATCTCACCCACATGGCAAAGCCTGGCAAGCTCCCTGTGGTGTATTGGATATGCCAAACACAGTAACAAGTCTCACAATGGAAATATTATTGGTCCCCCTGGAGCAAATCCATGAACAATGGGAGGACAGTGCTACAGTGCAATTATTGGTACAAGGTAAATAATAGTTTCAAAATCTTGAGGAAGAATTACTTCTTTCTCTAGGTAGTTCGTGATAATAGAATTTCAGAGCAAACAATACACCCTGGATGGAATTCGGGCCCTTGGGTGGGTCTCCTGATAATCTCTTTAGATGAGATTTTGTCCTTGGGTAAATCTCCTGGAGGAGATTACCTCTCTGTTGTTATGTTGTTAATGCTCAACCCCACCTTTGTCTCCCCACCCTACAAGATTCCTATATTAAGGATGCTGTAAGGGGCTGGAAGAAAGAACTATACTGTCAGAGGGATTTGTTGGAGGTAGACTGGATTCTGGGAAGGAGATGAAGACTAGATGCTGAGGACTAGATGTTAAGGACTAGAAGGTCGATGATGAGACATTGAAGACGAGAAGCAGAACTGAGACCTTGGAACTTTGAGGACAAGAATCCAAGGAGAACCTGAGACTACAAGGAGACTAAGAAACAGAAAGACTAGAAGGAGGACTACATGACAATGATGCCTGGAAGCAGAGGACTCTGAGACTACTACAAGAGCAGGAGGAAGATATAACTCCAGAAGACTCCGGACGAGGAAGAAGATATAACGAAAGAGGACTTTGAGTTCTGCACCAAGGACATTAGGTTAATGCAACTGTGATGACCCGGGGCTATGACTAAAATTACAAGCACGATTGCGCTGTAAGGGGAGAGATCGGACTACTACGCTGGGGAGGACAGTTGAGGCCCCATTCCGTGCACACTTGAGGCCTGATTCAGCGCCCAGCACCTCTGACGAGATGGACATCTCTCTGGAGGAGCTTATCAAGTTGAACCAGATCTGCAGCGGCACCGGCACCCAGGGACGACGTGCCGGTGGGCCAGTCTGGAACCGGGGAGGGCTGACCCAAAGCCGCGGTAGGAACCAGCCAACGCCCTACAGCAGGCCCAAGCAGCTCCGGGACAAGTGGCACCGTGACCTGTGCAACAGCAGCGTCTGGGGCGGCGCCCGCGTAGAGCCCGGCGGGATGCTGCTGGTGTCCAACCTGGACTTCAGGGTGTCGGATGCCGACATCCAGGAGCTGTTCGCCGAGCTGGGCATGCTGAAGAAAGTGGCCGTGCACTATGACCGCTCCGGCCGTAGCCTGGGCACCGCCGTGGTGCACTTTGAGCGGAAGATGGACGCCCTGAAGGCCAGGAAGCAGTACAACGGGGTCCCCCTGGACGGGCGCCCCATGCACATTCAGCTCATCACATCTCAGATGGACACACAGCAGAGACCTGCACAGAGCACAAACGGAGGCGGTGGGATCACAAACCGCAGGTTCGGAGGCTTTGGCGGGGTCCAGAGAGGCGCCCGCGGGGGCAGCTGGGCCCGGGGCCCAGGCACGGGACGGAGCTCCAAGCGGCAGCTTTCTGCAGAGGAGCTGGACGCACAGCTCGACGCCTACTATAAGGCCAGGTTGAACACCAGCTAAGAGCCGCCGCCTGCGTGCACATCAGAACAGACGTCCGGGAGGGGCAGAGGGGGCTGCCAGGGCATCGTTTTTTTTTTTTTAATGTTCTAAAATAGGGTTTTAAGACTCGTGGAAAGGTCTTCCTCCACACCCCCTCTTCTCCCCTCTCTCCCTTTTAAAAAATTCTGAAGCCGACCTGTGTTGTACTGAGTTCTTTTGGGATAAATCTCACTGTTGCTGTTGTGGAGAAGGTTGCGTTTTGGCCTCGGTCATAATAAAAAGAAACGTGTGGCATAAATAAATATATATGTATATATATGTGCATATATATATATTTTTATGGGGGAATTGGGTGAGAGGTAGAGTTTGTTTGGGTTTTAGCTTTTCTAAGAAGAACCACAGGAGGATGTGGTGACTTGATAATTGGGGCAGCCCCAAGAGCAAATGCTCGTACTGAATTCTTTATATATGTATGCCTGGGTGATGTTGGAACCTAAGCAAAGAGAAAGTGAAAAGCCTGTTTTGCAAAGGACTTTAAAGTATTTGAAAAATAGACATGCTATTATATTACCAGTGTGACGTCAATTGAAGATATTTGGATCCATTTGACTCTGTTATTTTTTAACATTAATTTTAAATATTAAGATGCCATAATTTACATAATTGTTCATAGTTGGTTTTCAGGCATGCATTGCTTCAAGACCCATATCACTGCTAATGTTGACTTCCTTCCACTGATGTCCCCAGGATCCCACTCACAACTCAGGCTGCCTTTTTGACAAGCACCTTTTTAGGTTTGGTTGTTGTAGTTTGGAAGCCATGCTTGTAGTATTGTTTGTGCTTTAATTTAGATATATACATATACCACACCTTCACACCACCAATGTACCCGAGGACCCAGAATCCTACCCCTGTTACCTCCTGTCCACATTTTTATTTTTATTCCAGTCCCTTAATTTTTTTTCTTTCTTGTACTTCTTATTTCTATAATCTAAGATTAAGGGTAATCTAGGTATCTTCCCTTTAGTACTTTGCATTCTCTCTCTGTGTTATTCTTTAATATGCTATTTATTAATATGTAAGATCATTTGGTACTTGTCCTTCTTATGACTCATTTCATTTAGCATGATGTCATCCAATTCCATCTAAATTGCAGCAGATAACACTGTTCCTTTTAATTTAACTGATGAATGACATTCACATTCGATATGTTTATCCTGTTTTAGTATTATTTCAGGAATTTGGAAAACAATAAATGGTAACATTTATCAAGAATCTACTGAATACATAAATTACTTAGTGACAGTCATGAAAGGAATGAAAAACTCCTCAAAAATTGTTTCCAGTGAATACTTCTTCTTGACTTTGTTTTCCTTCCTCCCTTTCTTTTGTTGTTGTGATAATCAGGGACATCACATTTTAGTGGCAAGACTTACCTTTTACTTTTTGCAGTGTCTTAGAGATTATATGGAGCTGGGTGTGTGGAGTTGGGCATCCCAACAATGCCACCAAGATTACACTGGGTACATAAGGAATGGTGCCAGGAATTGGACTGTTAGCCTATCAGTTTCAAAGCACATGCTGTACAACAAATCACATGCCCACTACTCCACTTCTACACTAACTGGGGAGCTAGCTGAGCATCTCCAGAAGAGGACTGAACAAGCAAGGCAGTGCAGTGCTGAAGTGAAGTTTACAGAGTAGGTGGGTTAGTAGGAAGTGATATGGAAGAGGTGTGAATCTGTGGGGATACCTGGATGGTTTCTGAAGCAAGGGTTTAGGGAGTGCCTGGTATATATCATGCAGATAACACTGTAAAATTATCTGTTGCATTAGTCTTCTATCGCTACCACCACATAAAGTGGGTGACTTTAAACACTAGAAATATATTTTCTCAGGGCTGGAGCACAATGGGTAGGGCATTTGCCTTGCACATGGCTGACCTGGGTTCGATTCCCAGCACCCCATATGGTCCCCTGAGCACTACCGGGAATAATTAGTGAGTGCATGAGCCAGAAGTAACCCCTGTGCATTGCTGGATGTGATCCAAAAAGTAAAATAAATAAATAAATAAATAAATAAGTATTTTCTCAGCATTCTGGAGGATAAAAGTCCAAGCAAGGTGATAGAAATTTTAGTTCTTGGGCAGGCATCTCTTCTTGCCTTAAAATTAGCTGCCATCTAGCTGTCCTCACCTGACCCTTTCTCTTAGCATGAGCAGGAGAGTTGGGGACAAGGCATTTCAGGTGTTCCCTTCTCTTATTTCTTTCTCTTATTATTAGGCCATCACCCTATGCGTTCATTTCATCTTATTTGGCTTTCTAAAATCCTAGTGGAAAATTCATTCTTATTAGGGACTGCATATGAAAGGACCTGACTTAAGGTTATAAAAGGAAAAGAGCAGTAAGAGAGGTGTTGTAAAACAAAATCAGCATATTTTGGTAGCTGAGTGAATCAAGAAAAGAATGTCTAAGACAAGTGAAGTCAAAGCCTGGTGACTAAGGAATGGTTAGTCTAGATTAAAATGCTCCAGTTTACTGAAAATGAAGACATGGTATAGCAGCTTCTTGAGGTCAATAAAATGGTTTGAGATCTATTTGATATGAAGTATTGTATGGTATCAGGTATACTGGCAGGAAAATTAACTTCTAAAACGTGTTTTGTGCAGGAAACTGTGAATATTGAATGTTTTTAGAAATTCCTCATGCTCTCCTTCTTGAGTCTCATTTAATCACTTGTAAGAATGATCATTAGGGAGAGGGAGAAAGATGGCAGTGACAGGGGAACTGGACTGTGGTGCCAAAGTTGAGGAGGATGAAGAAGAAGAGGAGGAGCAGTTGGATCTTGTGGAATTGTGAGGAGTTATTGATTTGTATTTTCCTTTAAAATGTGAAAAATAAATGCAAGATTCTGGTGAGTCTTTTATTTGAAGATGGGTGCAGAATTTAATGTAAGAATGAGTAGGACACCTTTGGCTGTATCGCTCCATTAGAAATTTTGGATGACCTGGAGTGTGCGGTTACAATTTTGCCCTTGCAACATCTCAAACTCTATAACACTGACAAACCAGGTGTAGCACACCAAATTGGACGGGATGTAATATAGAAGGCAACTAATCTTGATTAACAAAATGTGAACACAGAAGGCTTAACCTGTAACAACATTCTAGAATCTCTTATAAAAAGGGTTAACAGCTCCATGGTAAGATACAACAATCCTCACTAACTTTCTTCTAAAAAATAGTTTTTGATCATTCTTTTAGCAAATTATTTATAACAAACAGTGTAAAATAAATTACTGAGAGCCTGTTATGAAAGCAAGCTCAAGGGTGGTTCGGAAAATTGGAAATAATAGTGGTGGGAAGGTGCAATGACGGTGGGATTGGTATTGAAATATTGAATGTCTGTGACTACAAGAATGACTTAATAAAGTTTAAAAACTGGGGGGAAAAGGATAAACATCAGGTTTCTCATCCTCAGATCCCAAAAAACACACATTAGAATTAAGAGCAAGTTTTCTTCTGAATATTGGAGAGAATTCTAGGCCCACAATACATATCCTGGAAGAAAATACTCAGTAGCTATCCATTTATGCATGCATTCAAGTGATAAACATACAATAAACATAAACTTGATCTTAAGATACAGTCCTAGGCAGTAGGACTTTGAAATTTTCTAGAAGAGAACTAAGCAGGCTCCACTGGGAATGATCTTGAAAGTTCTATTCTAATGGTGCTTACTCATTCTCTTGTCTAAGTGTTCACTTTTCAATTTCCTCTATAAAGGACAGAAGATGAGGTAGTATTCTGAGAAGAAGTGAATTATGAGTGTCACACAAAAGTTCTAGAGGTGGCTGGAAGAGAGGACATAGCATACCTCCAGGAGTTGATGTGACAGCCCTGCCCAGTAATAGATGGCTCTCTTAAAAGCAGGACAGATCTGTGGCCTGGAGGTAGGGTACTGTAGGATAACATTGGTTTGTCCTTTCTCCCTGGCCACAAAGAGCTTAGGTTTACTGAGTAATACCCATCACAATGCTCGTGAAGCACTCTCATTTCCTCTGTGTTCATCTTTAACTTCTCTGTGCTCTGCTTTCTCTACCTGTTAATCACTTATTTCCCCTAAGCAGTACCTGTGACTTGTAAAGTCAAATTCCTCAGAAATCTCTGATTCAGTATTTGTAGGTGAAATATTGCTTTTCTTCTTCCCTTATGTCCTTTTGCATAGTTTACAAATGGTTTACAGAGCAATGTCCTTTTTTGTATAGACACAGAAAGACAGCTAATGCTATGCTTTTGTAACTTGGGACTCAATTGACTCTGAATAATATTCACACCTGGGTATCTGTTCTCTCGACTTAAGCCTCAATTGCCCTTAGTTCCTAGCACCCCAAAAGCAGAGTCCTGACGAGGGACTGGATGGACCCAGGGCAAGCTGGCATTGAAATGGGCCAGGCCAAGTGCCTTAATACTTAATTATAGATTAAGAGCACAGTCATGGAGAAATTCTGTGATGATCAAAAGAGTAAAAACTGGGTTAGGACTCTGCTATGGTTAGGAAAGACTAATCTGGCCTGAACACTATAGTCTGGGATCTATAGCGAGATGTCCCCAGGAGAGACAACCTATAAAAGCTTAATGTATCTCTTACTGTGTCAAAATGACTAAAATTATTAAGAAGGAGAATTAAGATGAATGTTTAAATAGTTGTTGGACTGAGGAAAGGAGAAACACACCCCTAGATGCTATTTCACCCTTGAGCAGATCTTCTGGCTGCAGGAGATCTTTGTCTTATCTTAGAAGAGCTTCCCTTGGAAGGAAGGACATTTATATGTTGAGTGTGCTACCTGACCCAGGTGTAGAGACCAATACTTCAAGACAGAGCACAGAGAGACTAACATGGCAGACAGGAGGAGACAGGAGTGAGAGGCAGTGTGAGACTGGAATGCAGAGCTTAGTGAGACTGGAACAGGCACTTGGGGAGAATGGAATAAAGGGCAACAGATCATCAACCAGCCGGGCG